GTACACCTCATTTTTAAAGAGACAAAAATGATTTTAATTTAGTAATTAGATTGCTTTATTTCGAAATTCAATCTGCAATCTGCATCACGAGAATACCATCAGTGATTCAATGGTAGGGACTTTACAAGGACTATATATATAGAACCTGAAAAGTAAAGTTTGAATACCTTCAGAAAACCTTGATGCTCAGTTGCGACTGAATTAATGTGGTCCAAAAAGACATGGGGACGAGATCACGAGGCGATGGAATTAAGATTGTTACGTCTCTCATATTTTATATATATTTATTTATTTATTTATTTATTTTTCAGCACCTAAAAAAATTAGTAACTTGGAAAATTGCGGAATATAAATTAGAAGCACTCCTTTGTCTTTTTCTAACATATTGTACTCTGCGACTATTGGAAGGGTCCCTCCAAGTTCATCCATTTTGAAAGCTATGATATTGTTGAATTCTGTTGGCCTAATTGTCACCTATTTCAATTATAATGTTTACTTTGCTTTGCTCCCTAAAGAACAATCAACATGATAGACATCTATTAGATACATCATTGTGGTTTTTAACTTTTTCTTATTCGCACTAGTCAATTATATTTATATATAAAAAAAACGTAGATTCTTAGTTTTGCAACTTGCTTGGTAAATACACCACAGTGACAGATCTAGGACTTGACTTAGTAAAGATAATTTATATATTTTTTTAAAATTAATGATTATTATTATGGAAATAAATAAAATGTAGGTGAAATGAATTTTCTAGTTGAATAAAGCATAATATTCAAAAAGCTAAAAATGGAACAAAAGATATAAATAATATTAGTCATTGAAAGACAAATTTTGATAATGAAATAACAGATTGGAGCGAGTGAGTTCAAATACACAAAAATAAGGAGAAAAAAAATACAAAAACATTGTATACAGATTTATTATATTTTTTTAGAGTGAGGGAGTGTAAATACTCATCTAAACTTTACATGGATCCGTCATGGTACTGTTACATATTAAAAATAAAAGTTATTCTTATCTAGAATTTCTTAAATATAAGTTAAGAAAATTTTATGTACGTTAATTTTAAGTATAAACAAATTTTAATTAAGTTTATTACATTTAATGATATCAAATATAAAATATCTCTTTATTTAATTAAAAATATTTTTTCAGAGACTTTTTTTTATAAAAAAAATTGACATTTAATTTCAATGACGTTAACTAAACTTTATTAATTAAAATTTATTTACATTCGAGATAAAAACAATATGTCACTATATTTAAATCCGTCAATTAATCTAACTTATTTTATATGCTAAATAAGTCAAATTGTTATTTTACCTTTTATAAGTTGATTTGATCCAACTTATGTAATACGCGATTGGTAAGTCAATTTGGGGGATTCGTGGCAACTCACTTAAAAAAAAGGTTAAAATTTATTTATGTTTATTTTATTTATTTATTTATTATTATTATTATTATTATTATTATATATATATATA